TGTGTGTGTGTGTGTGTGTGTGTGTGTGTGTGTGTGTGTGTGTGTGTGTGTGTGTGTGTGTGTGTGTGTGTGTTTATTCTCTATTTTGGGGCGTTTTTAATAAAACAATTATTCCACTCCCGCTTGTTAGATATGAGATGATTATATCCAACTTGGCGCTACGCGCCTCGATGGCTATCCACCATCTCATATCCAACAAGCGGGAGTGGAATAATTGTTAACTATCTCACAGGTGGCTTGATCTTTTTCTTAGTGTATATGCAAACAAGTCAAACTTCTGGTGAAAACACTTTGAATTAGACGTAGCATCTTGCATTCATTCGATGATCGTGCCAAGTGACGATGAACGCTTGAAACGAATCAGATGTCTCATGCAATGTAGTACAACTTTTGTTTGTGGTGTTGTCTGCGGTCAGTGTTGTTTCATGTTGAAATGCCTCGTTAACCTCGCGTCACGAGGTTGCACATGAACATACGCATTATTTCAGTTTAAAGTGTATTTGCATCAATGTCGCGATGTTAGTCTTTCTGCAAATGCATTTCATTTTATTAAGAATTACATTGGTTCAGTGGAGCTTCTACTGTTGTGTTGTCACTTACCCTTGTTTCTCGTTCCGCTTTAGATTCTAAAGCTCTATAAACGCTTCATCAAGGCCGAAAGTTTCAGGAAAGCGCTTGTCTATCAGAAGAGGTACCTTCTGCTGTTACTGGGCGGCTTCCAAGACTGCGAGTCAACAACTCTCGCAATGATTTCTCAGATGGGTGCTTTTCCCGCTAACCCAGACCGCTCCTTCAGACGAACGGCTGTAAGCAGATTTCGCACTGCTGCGCGCGCTGTCCTCGCCATCCAGCGCATGAACTTTTTGGTGAAGAAATCAAAACGCGTTTCTATCTCGGGATCGCGCGACAATACGAGTCGATCGCGCGTTCTCAACGGTGATGTCAACGGTCACGAACACACTGTTTACCAGGCTACCGCAAATACGTACACACCTCGGTCGACTCAGGACAGGCCCAGCAATGTTAGCGGTACCAATGTTGTGCCAACGTTAAATTTACATGAGCCCAGTGCTGGTCCCATGTACACGGATAGATACTCGCCAAGGAGTGACCGAAGAACTTACGAGAAATATCACACCGCTATTAATGGAGACACGGACTTTAGAAGTCGTTCCGTTAGACCTGCAACTGCTTCGTCGAGTGAGAGGTTCAGTCGACGAGAAGACAAACCTATTGTTGACGATCCTTTGTCGCAGCGAAGTCACGTTCCGTCTTCAAGTAGGTCACCTAGAACTTTCTCTCCAACATCCTGGTCGGATACTCGGACAACGTCGGTTCCACTCGCCCGAGAACCGACGGGTACCGATTATCCCCCGACTTTAAAATCGCCACCCGTTCGGGACACTGGCACCACACGACGGGAATACGGTGATCGCGATCGGTTTGATCCAACACCTCGACACTCTTCGCCCTATCGTCGGGAGCGATCGATTTCTCCCGACGGTTACCGTCATAGCGGTCGGCCACTGTCACCATCAGGGACATCTTCAGTGGGATCGGCTCACAATGGAAGTGAAAGCGGTGATCACTCACTGAATTTGTACATCCACAGACTGGAGTCTTTACAGAATAGACTGGGAGCTTTTAATAGAGGTAAGACTTCTTTAGATGTATGTTTTATCTGTTGTGGTAATTTTACGCGTTCTTCGTCTTGTTGATGAGGTGCGGTAGGTGGCGTAAAGCTGCGTTCAAGGGACTGCATTGCGGAGGCTGCGTGATGAGTCAAAGAATGTCAGCGTAGGCTAGACAACATCTTACACGAGTTGTTAGATAACCGGAAGTGATCTAAATATAACTTAAGAGGGATAACTTTGGTAATAAAACCTGCATGAGGGATTAACTCCCTCACCCCTCATCATCTCTTGAAGTTAGTTATGTGAAACGCTTGTTCGTACATCATTTTTGGGTTTCTATCAAGATTCTTCCTTACCATATGGAGGCTGCCTGGCCGAGTCGTTGGGGCGCAGGACTTGAATTCTGGAGGTCTTGCGTTCAGGTCCCGTTCTGACCACTAAGTGGTGTTGTTTTGCGTTACACACGGGTTCAACTTCTTGGCTACGCTTGTAAGTAGCCAACTGGTTCGCCTCGTGTCAGTGTTAACCTGGTTATGTTTGATTTGTAATATTTCTTATTAAATGTTCCACACCAGTACTGAATCGCTTACCGAGGCTAAACAAATGTCAATGTTTTCTTTTTCAAGGTGGCACGGCAAGTTCCTTTCCAAAAAGCAGACGATATTGATGACAGTTTGATAGAGTATGATTATCCACTCACAGAAAAAGTCGAATTCTTCAAGTTCAATAAAGTATTAAGATAATCACGATAGTGGTGCTTCCTTCGTTCTGCATTAGCTCCAGCATATGTTTCAAAACGTTTCTTCTTCCTTTCGAACTTTGCATGCAGTCGCTACTACAACGCGCTTAAAGATAATCATTAAAAGTAGACGCCAGGCTAACTTGTTGTTGAATTAAAAGAAAACTTATAAATGAGTGCGGTTTTCATTCGTTCGTCTTCGCCCTTAACTCAAATGTTTGAGTTTTGCGTGCTAATTTAAAGAGAAATATAGCATAAATGAAAACGTTTTATAGAAAAACAAGAGATTATAACTTAGAGGTGGTGGATTCATGGAGCCGAAGTGAATCTTCTAAAACCTATTTTTAGAGCCTTGCTTAAGAGTCTGTTGTCGATGATTTTACAACATGGTAACATAGTGGGGACTTAGAGGAAAAACAAGTAATGTGTTTTGAAATCGTTGCTCACTAGAATTTTTATCTCTTGTGAAGGAATGTATTGTAACTTTGATTTCGAAATAGATTTTATGTGATTCACTGCGGAACAGAATAGGGAAAATTGTTTCTCTGAATCAGCCTCTCTTCATAAAACTTATTGGTATAAGCTTGTTTGATCGAAGTATTTATCGAAACAGAGAGATATTTAATACTTTGACTTATTTATGTAGAAATTTATTATATACATGTATAGGAAAGTTAGGACATATTTTCTTCAGCTTTGTGCTTTTTTTTTTGTTTTTTTTGTTTATAGTCATGTTATTTTTGTTACATTTGATAAATTTTGTAGTGTATACGATATTTTTGTACGCTATTTGTAAGTCATCCAGCGATTTGTAATCGACTTGTGAACATTAAATAAGGTGACATCAACCAGATATAAATATATATATGACATGCTTTGAAAACTAAGTGTTTGTCTTTTTTGTGTCTACTGCACTGCTCTGTGTTCATGCCCATGGAGAAGAAATTATGTTTATCGTGGAATTCAAAGCGAAGTTGAGGGGACTACATATTATAGTAACAGCGATGTTTCTCGAAAATTACGGAACTGAAAGGTGCTGAAGGTTCATCCCGTCCATGAATGTCACAGAAAGTCTCACCTCAGTCACCCAACCGTCCTCATGTTACAAGTAAAATTATGGGGTTGTGGAAAGTACGTTGTTGGTAGAACTACTCTCCATCCAGGAGTTTTTACCGGTGAAATATGTAAGGACAGAGGGCTACAAGAAATAACCGTAGCCTGTTACGGAGTCAAAACGCTAAATGGGCTTTTAACATAGCAATCAGAGCTGCGCAATCAAATTTAGTATAATTAAGCGTGAACCATTATCCATTATAAAATATTTACGATAGTACGCGTGCTCTCGTTGATCGATAGGTTTTTTTTTTTTTTTTATGAGAGCTGTAAACATGGTTTTCGAAATATTTTTCAAAAATATTTTATAAAAACAATAGGGGACCTTTTGCGTAATTACATAACCTCGTTTAAACCATATAACTGCACTCAGTTTCAACCTTCTGAACTGAGTGGGATTGATTGACCAGTTCTCAGCCAATCAGCATGCATGCTGAAACTTGTACATGCATATTATTAGTGTTGGTAATCGTATGCATGGGACTGCAATTAAGGATTATTACCTCGAGTGATATTTGAAAATTCTCTCCAAAGTGGAATGAGCCTTTAGGCGAGTGCAATTTGAAGGAATTCTCAAATATGACGAGTAGTATAAATGCTTAATTGCTCAAGCTTTCGTACGATTACTCATTTATTGTATGAATGGGAAAATTGGATAATTAAACGAGACTTACCAGTGAGTTGAAGTTTGATTGAGATTCTACCACATGACAGCAGAAGGCAAGGAGATCACATGAGATAGCACGGTGCTTGTGCAAGTCATTTTTTTAAAGACATTGAATGGGAGTGTCAGGCATAATACACACAGCAGTAGGTGCATAACTAAGGCCGACAAAGAGCGGGGAAGCCAAGAAGCGGCGGGCATTTGATCTCCTTGCCTTCTGCTGTCATGCGATAGAATCTCAATCAAACTTCAACTTACAGGTAAGTCTCGTTTAATTATCCAGTTCTATCATATGACGAGAAGGTGGGAGATCCCATGAAACTTTAAAGCCCTGATAGGCCATTAAGACAACGTAAGGTGGGTAGAGCCAGCAACAACGACAAGCTGTATTCATGCCTGGCGATCTTTCATTCAATAACAATAACAAAAATAAATGATTACTACGTATTGCTGCTGAGGAGCACAGAGGTGACGCTGGCCTCTTCTATGACTGGCTTATAGCAATGTCGGTAAAATGTTTGTGCCGAACGCCAACCAGCCTTGGCCATAATCTCGTGTATAGGGATTGCCTTCGCACACGCTTTGGACGCAGAGGCTGTCCTGGTGCTGTGCGCAGAGAACATTGTAGTGTCGATGCCACACGTTTTTAGAGTGGCTTTAGTCCATCTTGAAATGGTGTCCCTAGATACAGGTTTGTAAGGCTTGACATAGCTGATAAACAACATAGTTTCAGTCCTCATGAATTTCTGAGTGCGGTCGATATATTCCCTTAAGCATGAAAACGGGCAGGTAGTCGGATCTGGGGGGTATCTAGCTATTTCGATCCGAGTGTGAGGTGCCCCAGGCCTCCTAGTTTTGGTATGTTGTAAGGCGTGAAAGGAGCATAGATCTTGCATTTTCATATGCTGAAACTCAAGCAGGTGGATAGATTGGCCTCATTGATCTGAAACTAAAAGCAGCAACATAAGAACTTTGTAAGTTAAATCTTTGAGTGATAGCGTGCCACTGGGATAGTACTTAGCTAAGTGTTTGAACACGGTTGATACATCCCAGATACTATTATATTTAGGTGTAGGTAGACGGGTCTCAAAGATACCTTTCATAAATCTAGTAACTACGGGCTTAGTACCGAAGTCACCGCCTTCTATCTTAAAGATAGTAGATATTGCCGAGCGGGCTGTGTTCCAGAGTAACTAAGACCTTTGTTGTTACGGGTGAACAGAAAGTTTACCGCGTCATTTAAAGAGGTGGCAAGGCAATCCACCTATCTCTCACTACAAAATGCTACCCATTTTTGGAGGTACGTGGCATATTGTCTCTGTGTTCCTTTTCTCCAGGAAGCCATAAGCACTTGGGTAACGTCTGCTGGAATTTGCATGCGTCGGAAGCATTCCCTGACACAGGGCATACCACTAGGGCCAGGTTCTTGTGAAGTGGATGTGGTTGGTTCGGTTGGACGACTCAAGGCCGATTCGCTAGAGGCTGCAGCAGGAGAGGAAACCAAGTTTGTGTCTCCCAGAGTGAGGCAATCAGTACTCCCCTGGCGTTGTCCTGTTGAATTTTCTGTAGACATTGTGGCACAAGACTGAAAGGAGGAAAGGCATAAAAATTATGATTATTCCAGTCAAGTGAAAATAAATCTGTGTGACAACTGCCAGGATCAGCTTTCCATGCACAGTATGTACTGAGCTGGTGATTTAGACGGCTTGCAAACATGTCAATGTTTAGGTCTGGATGGCGTGACACAATGTGTTCAAATTCTAGTTCGTTCAATTTCCATTCTTGTTTGTCAGAAAATTCTCTAGATTTTTCATCTGCCCTAACGTTCAAAGCTCCGGCAATATGGACTGCGAAAAGCCAAATATGTCTGGTGGTGCACCATTCCCAAAACAAGAAAGCTAGTTGATTGAGCTCAGTAAACTTAGAACCTCCCATGTTGTTGATAAAAGCGACAGCGGTCGTGTTGTCGAATTGAAGCTGTACGTGTATGTTCTGCACGTTCTTGCAGAAACATTTCATAGCAAAGAACGCCGCAAGTAGCTCAATTATGTTGATATGGGACTGGGTCTCGGTCGGTGTCCACGGACCTTCCGTCTTTCTTTCACCGCATACAGCCCCCCCCCCCGCCCCCCCCAGCCCAACTTTGAGACATCGGATTGTATAATTACGCTAGGGTTACCGTGAAAAATGTTGCGCTTTAATCGCGTGGCATTTTCAAGCCGCCACTGAAGTTTTGTCAACTACGGTGGAGATAAGCGGACAATGTTCGAAAAATCACCCTTGTTGGCAACTAGGGCTATTTACTTGTCACGCTCCAAATGCCGGTAATGTAATGGGCCGTATTCCGGCCACGGGAAGTTGGAATCCAAAATACCGATAACCTCAGCTGCCAGTCGGATGGTAGGGGTGGTTTTCTGGAGAAGGGAGTTACAACTCGCGAAAAGTTTTTTGATTTTGGCTGCTGTGTGCGCGACCGTCATATGTACCGAATCAAGGTCAAAGCCGAGAAATGTCAATCTCTGAGATGGCGCAAATACCGATTTCTCAGAGTATACAAAGAACCTTAAAAGCATAAACAGTTGTTGTGGTGTCAACAACGTTGACATTGCATTCCTGAAATGTGTCACCTTGAAGATAGGAATCATCAATTTACCCAGAACTTAAATGTCCCGCACCCATTAGAGCAGAGTAAACGGGTTTTAACAGCTTAGTAAAAATACGGGGCGCACTGGCCAGACCGCTGGGAAGACAAGTGTACTGAAAATACTCGCCTTCAAAACAGAACTTAAAATATTTTTAGTGGGAGGAGTCAATAGGGACCGTGTAATAGGCGACTTTCAGGTCCACCGAAGCCATGTAACAACCTGGTTTCATCATGCTAATGGCAGTCTCAAGCGTGTCCATATTAAAGTGGTAATACTCTACAAATTCATTAAACTTTTTAAGGTTTAGGATAGTACGATGGCTGCCATCCTTTTTAGGGCGCAAGAAGATAGAAGATACAAAATCGCCCTTTTCCGATGGTGACGGTACGAAGACACCTTTTGGGATAAGCTTATCGATTTCAGCTTGAACAATAGCTCGTTCTTTGGCATTGAATATGCTTGATCTATGAGAGCTTTGTCGAGGCATAATGTAATTTGTGATGATCTTAATTAGCATAAATTACTATTTTTACAATGGATGAAGCTAAAGTTAAAGAGATCATTGCCCAGAACAATCGCGATCTGCTTGGCCAGATTAAGGATTTAGTTTCCACTTCAATTTCTGATCTAAAGAGATCTAATGATTCGAATGCCGCGGAGCAGATGTCTGAGATCAAGAGGCTAAAGCGGGATGCTCCACCTTCGTTCAAGAAGAAGAGTAACGAGGAGCAATTTAAAGCCAACAAATCAGTCATGGAAGCTGTCGAAGACGCTAGCGTCGCTCTTGAGCATAAGGACCTTCTGAGGACCAAGGAAGCGTTGGATCGGGGTATGTCTTTGCTTAAAGATCGGCAAAAATTAATCTTGTTGGCTGATAAGTCCCCGTACGGTTGGAAAACCGTTGTGGAATATAAACATCACGACTTGGCGGATGACGAAGAAGACGAGAAGAAAATCTATAGAGCTGAGGCGAGAGCGGCTAGAGCCTCGAAACGCT